GCATGATGGTAGGATTGCTGGTTTTTCTTTTTCTGTCTCTTAAACATGCTAGATAACAGGGATATCTTGCTACTCCACTGTACACTTTGTCACACTTCACAGACAAGACGCACATGCCTATATATATAATCTAGGATTTTCTCCTCCTTTTCTAAATAGCTCTTGTTCTTCCTAATTTTCTTCTAATTGTCATGGGGAGTGGAAAAGAGAATCTTTACTCGTAAGCCATGCGTGTCGTATTAGGCCTACTAAAATGCCGGGAGCAATAGGCTAAGTAAACCCCTTCTCCTGTAACATTTACTAAAAAAGAGAAAGAAGAAAAACTTTAAAAAACTGTGATGTCTTGATATGGCGGATGTAGGGCGGATGCCAAGAAACAGATGATTGCTGATGTTATGAAAAGAGTTGATGTCCAGGCCCCAAGCGAAACAAGAGCTGAAGGGGGTAGGGGATTTTTCGAGTGGGGGAAAAAATGGATTAAATCTGGAGTCACCCTGAGAGAGTTAAGAGCAAAGGAAGGGGTAGCAGTAATGTTGAAAGATCAGTTATGGAAGGAAAAACGAATATGAATGTGTAAATTCAAGAAATATGTGGATAAAAGTCAAAGGTTTGGAATGCAAAGTGGGTTCATTAAAAGCGTGTATGCACCTGAGAAGAGAGGAATGTAAGGAGAGAGAGAGATTTTGAGAGATGTTAAGTGAATGATAATGAAGCCTGTGAACCAAGTGAGAAGAGTCATTGTGGTAGGGGATCTGAATGCTTAAAGTTGAAGAAACTTTTAGAGAGGTGTGGTAGGTAAGTTTGGTGTGCCAGGTGTAAATGATACAGGAGCCCTTTGATTGAACTTTGTATAGAAAGGAGTTTTAGTTATTGGTTTAAACAATATTTTTAAGAAAAAGAGGATAAATAAGTATACAAGATATGAGTGAGGGCGTAAATGACAGTAAGTTTGTTGGATTATGTATTGGTAGATAAAAGACTGTTGAGTAGACTTAATGGATGGTACATGTTTTTATAGAGAGGGGCCACAGATATATCAGATTCACTTCTAGTTTTGTAGCTACACAGAGTAAAAGTAAATGGGATACAAGGAGAATAGAAGCATCAGGGAAGAGAGAGGTGAAGGTTTATAAACTAAAAAAGAGGAGGCAGTTAGGGTAAGAATAAACAGCTATTGGAGGATATATGGTCTAATGAGAGCATAGGAAATGGGTCGAAGAGGTATGGGGTAGGTTTAAAAAATGAAAGTGTTAGAGTGTTCAGCAGAAGTTTGTGGTTTACAGGAAAGTGGGTATGGGAGGGAAGAGGAGCGATTGTTAGAATGATGATGATAAAAAGAGTAGTTAAGGGAGAAAAAGTAAGGATATGAGGAAGTTTTTATAAGTAAGAAGTAATGCAAGGAGGGAAGATGTATTCGAGAGAAAGAAAAGAGGTTACGAGCGTGGTGTTTAAGCAATTAAAAAGATAGAAAAAACAAATGAGAGAGGTGGGTGAGATGTTATCAACAAATTTGTGAAAATAAGAAACAGTATTGGAGTGAGATAACAATTTAGAGGAAGCCAAGAGAACTAATGGATATGTCAGTTATAAAAATAGGAGGAAAGAGTTTATTAAATGGGAGATTAGAGGTATTGAGAAATGAGGGAATATTTTCAGGAATTGTTACATGTTGATGATAGATAGTGAAGCTGTGAATTTTCGTGTAAATATGGCAAGAGGAGGAATAACATCTTGTAGGAGTGAGAAGATCGCAGTTGTGAGTGTGGGGTAAGTTCGTGATGCAGTAGGAAAAATGAAAAGGGTAATGCAGCTGGATTGATGGGATAAAGATAGAAATATTAAAAAGCAGGTGGGGGATGTAGTATTGGAGTGGGTTGATGCAATATTTAATAAATGTATGTAAGAGGAGCAAGGCACCTAGGGATTGGCGGAGAGCATGAGCATAGTTTCCTTTTGTATAAAAGCAAAGGGACAAAAGAGTGCAAAAATTATTAGGGGTATAAGTCAGTTGAGTAATACTGGTAAAGTGTATGGTAGAGTTATTATTGAAGAGAATTAAAGTAAAAGACGAAATAGGATAGCAGATGAACAAGAGGCTTTAGGAAAGGTAGGGGGAGTTGGACCAGGTGTTTACAGTGAAACATATAAGATGAACAGTATTTAGATAAGGCTAGAAGAAGGTCTTTGTGGCATTTATGGATTTGGAAAAGGCGTAATGACAGGGTGGATAGGGTGGGCAATAGGGCAGATGTTTGCAGGTGGTAAGGTGTAGGAGAGGTAAGGTTTCTGACAGCAGTGAACAGTATTTGAGGATAGTAGGCTCAAGTTAGAGTATGTAAGTCAAGAGGGGAATTATTTCCCAGTAAAAGTAGGCCTTAGACAAGGATGTGTGATGTCACCGTGGTTGTTTAATATATTAAAAGAAGGGTTATAAGAGAATAAAATGCGAGGGATCTTGGCAAGAGGTGGGAGTTAAAAGATAAAGAATCTCACAAAGTGAGTTTCACAGTTGCTTTTTGCTGATGACACTGTGGCTCTTGGGAGATTCTGAAGAGAAGTTGCAAGATTGGTGGATAAATTTGGTTAGGGTGTGCAAAAGAAGAAAATTAAAAAGTGAATAACGGAAAAGTAATGGTGATGATGATAAAAATTCTGTGTGAAAGAAAGGATATCAGATTGGAGGAGAGAGGTATGGGAGGAGGTGAAAGTAATTCAATATTTGTGGAGTGAAGTGTCAGCGGTGGTCTAAGAAAGATGAGCTCTGAATCATAGAATTGATGAGGAGGAAAAGGGTGAGTGGTGCACTTAAGGAGTCTGTGAGACAAAGAACTTTGTCCTTGAGCAAAGAAGGTAAATCTGAAGTATAGTTTTACCAAACGCTCTTATATGGTTGTAAGCAAGTGTGATTAATGTTGCAGCGAGGAGAAGACTGGAGGCCAGTGGAGCATGTCATGTCAGAGGGCACATGTTGTGGTTGTGAATAAAATGCAGAGATATTCTATTTTGGAAGTTAGGAGTAGGTGTAGGATTACCAAACTGTTGACCAGAAAGGCTGAGGAAGGGTTGTTGAGATGGTTTCGGACATGTAGAAGAAATGAGCGAAACAGAGTTACTTCAAGCGTGTCATCAGTCATAGTGACGGAAGGCGGGTAGGGGTCGTGCTAGGAATGGTTGAGGGAGGGGTAAAGAGGTTTTGTGTGCGAGGGCTTGGACTTCTGCTGGCAATGCGTGAGCGTGTATTTGATAGGAGTGAATGGAGACAGTGGTTTTTAATAACTTGTCGTGCTGTTTGAGGTGAGCAAAGTAACCTTTTTGTTTTTATGGGAAGGGGTTCCATGTAATCTAGCAGGCCGGACTTAGTCCTGGAGATGGGAAGTACAGTGCCTACACTCTGAAGGAGGGGTGTTAATGTTGCAGTTTAAAAACTGTAGTGTAAAGCACCCTTCTGGCAAGACAGTGATGAGATATGAACATGATGGTGAAAGTTTTTCTTTTTCGGGCCACCCTGCCTTGGTGGGAATCGGCCAGTGTGATAATAAAAAATAAAATAATAAAAAGAAATACAACTTTATAAACTACTTACTTAAATTGTGTGTTTGTGTGTGTAATTATAGTATGACCTATTATATTGAGAAAAACAGGCTTGACTCAGGTGCCTTACAGCCATAAGAGTGATCTGCCCTTATGACATTTAGAGCTGAGTCCCCATCAATTCAATATAATTAGGTATTCCAGAGTAACTGCTACAGATACATAAATACATGTTGGGTCCTATGGCCCCATAACACACACCTTGTCAAGCACGTCAAGAAATTAAAGAAAGTGCAAAGGTTTGCGACACTAGAGGACGACATTATAGGACGGATGGTCAGGGAAGACATGATAACGACATACAAAATACTACATGGGATAGGCAAAGGTGGAAAATGACAGATGTTCCAGAGAGGAACACACACACAAGGGTCCCGTCACACTTGAAGTTGAAGATTCAGTGAATCAAAGGGATATTAGGAAGTATTTCTTCAGTCATAGAGTAGTCAGTATGGGAAATAGTTTAGCAAATGATATTGGAGCAGGAACCATACCTACCTTTAAAGACGAGGTATAATAAAGCTCATGGAGCCAGGGAGAGAGAGACCTAGTAGCATATCAATGAAAGGTGGGCCAAGCTGAGGTCTCGAACACTTGCAACCCCCATCAGATATATGTTGAGTACACACACACACACAAGGGATATTTTTGGGATTAAGTCTTATAGCACACCTTCACTCTCTCAATAACCCTAATATAAATGCAACTTATGTTACCAATTTATATTAGGTGACCGTAAGCCACTAACCAGGGTGAGAGTTTATATATATATATAAATATATATAAATATATATTATATATATATAATATCGATCTGATTCCTAAAAAGACAATCCTCAAACCTCCGACGATGGAAGCGAATGAAAACATTGATATACAAGATCTTCCACCTGCTTACCAGCCCTGTCAATCTCAAAACTTACCTACTTTCTGAGGTGCTCCCAAAGCCTTCAGCAGTCCAGAAACTCAAGGAACTATAACACTCCTTAAGATCATACTAGATTGTGTAATTGAATCAATCCCTTGAAGATGGACAGTGGTTTGCCAGCCCCCACATCCGTCAGGCTTGGGGCTTGAAGAACGCAGATCCTCCCAGATTGGCTCTACCAACTTTCCTATCCTCTCCATACACAAACGAAGTTAATAAAACAAATCTTCCTGACAACCCAGAGGAATACAGCTCCTCATTACGTCAGTTCCATCACTGAATGGGAGAGTCTGCTGGCCCAGCAGCACCAAACCTAGTGCAGCAACTGGCTCACAAACAGTCAAGCTGGGATGGCCCCATCGCTGAAAAGATGCTTGCGAAACATGCTCTGGGCTGCAACATCTGACAAGGAGACTGCCCCTCTGCAAGCTGTGAGCGCATATCACTCCGGGGACTTCCTCCAAACAGTTCCCTTAACGCA